TGCTGTTTTTCATATCTATCATGTAAGATGAGTGTTTAAAAAAACTATTAATATAATTCTGGAAGTAATGGGCGTTACCTTAATTGATTATATAACTAACATTTCCTACTGATATGTGTTTGAAAAAGCAAATAGACTTAAGTTTTAGAACACCAGTTGAGCACTTTACTGTGTACATTTTTCTGTTGACAGAGTATTTCTCTAGAGGTTGCTGCCAGTAATGTGAGGTGCATAATTACTTTCAGGCCATTCTGTCTATACAGGAGGCTCTCCAATGAGCAATCAGTAAAGGATACTTTCTGCCTGTCTGAAAAGGACGTTTATAGGGTAAAGGGTGTCAAATACAATACTTACCATTGCAATGAAAGTGGACATAGCAATTCTAGCCCTGAAAGCAGCTATCTGCAATTGACAAAACAACACAAAGTCATTATAAACTAAATACATGTAAAAAAAAAAAAGAGTAAGAAGCAATGCATTGTTGAGCAGCAGAACAGGGTATTGTGGGTAATGATGATGGGCTAATCCAGAAGTAGTTTATTTATTACTCCAGATGGGAAATGGAGCCCTGCATCCTCTACCTTTAATGCCATTCATTAGGTAACAAGACTGGACACGTTCATGGACTCCTGCCTTCTCAGTGATCAAAATAAGTTTGAAATCCCTGTCAACGTCTATTTTTTGTTTGTTTGTTTCTTCCTTTCTTTCTTTCCAGGTTCACATGGGCACTCACATGTGGAACAGTACTCCTGCAAGACGAGGCAGACGACTTTCTGTAGATGGCCCCATGACATTTCTAGGAGGCAATCCTGTAAAGTTCCCAGAAATGTTTCAGAAGGATTTGGCTGCGCGGTCAGGGAATGGAGACCCATCCAGCTTCTGGAACCAGTATGCAGCTGCACTCTCCAATGGCTTGGCCATGAAGACCAACGAGATCTCTGTCATCCAGAATGGCGGCATCCCTCCAGCACCGGGGGGCCTGGGCAACGGGGGCAGCTCTCCCATCAGTGGCTTGACAGGAAGCCTGGAGAAGCTCCAGAATTCAGAACCCAATGCACCTCTAGCTGGTCTGGAGAAAATGGCAAGCAATGAAAATGGGACAAACTTCCGTTTTACGCGTTTCGTGGAAGACAACAAAGAAATTGTAACAAATTAGAAAAAAACCTCCATAAATAACATTCCTGCAAATAGTGCAACCTAGGGTTGCTTTTTTCAAGCTGCAGGCTACAACATTACAAAGACTTTGTTTTGTACCGTGTTCTACTTCTAGAGTTCTAAGAGAGCTTATTTATTAGTGATATAACCTTGCTTTGCAAACAAATGCAAGCATTAACTTTGGTCTCCCGTATTTTGAACTAAATACTAATCGACTAGAGTGCTGTAAACTTGCTGTAACATTTATGGCAGTTGCAAGTCTGTTCTGCTAGGTGATCTTATTCTGGCATTAACTTATTTTCTATATCCAGTTTAACATGAACTCTGGTATTGATGCGATGCCTCAGTGATGCATTAGATCTCTAATAAAAATCTGTATATAAATGTACACTTCGATCCTGCTGGAAACTTTATCAGCAAACACATTGTTTAATTTTTCCAAACAAAATTAAAAAAAAGGACTGAGAGAATATAGACTGAACAGTGTGGGTCCTTTACACAGCTCAGTTTTTGATTTTTATTATAAAATTAAAACTGCTTTAATTTTTGTAGGTTTAACATTTTCCGTTTTGAACTGTTATTTGTATTGTGCTTTTTACTTGAGTCGTCTTAAATGTTAATACATTTCTGTACAGTAATAAGCACGCGGATTATTAGAGGAGATACTGAAGTGTTGTTTTGGTAGTTGAAACTGAGACGTAACATTTTGCCTTGTAGGTATATTCATTATAGAAAATGTGCTGGACTTTCACAATGCTGCTAAGTATGGCATCTTGAACAACTTCCGTGGACAACTGTAGATGCTCCTGTATATACAATAAGACATCACTTTCATTAAAATGTACATACGTTCCTTACAAGACCAAGCCCTACTCCTTGACCAAGGGAACAAGTATAGTGTTTGTTTATTTTGTATTAGGTATTGGGGGGGGCAGGGGGAACCTTGGACTGTTACATGCACTTTCTCGGAAAGTTGAAAGGAAAAGAGGTCCAGTTTCTTTAACATTTAATACTTACTAACAGCAGAGATACTGTAATTTTACTCGAGTAATCAAATACATTTTTGCAACAGATAAAATTCCCTGTCTCTGTGTTTTTAAAGTGTACCTGTATTTAGTAATCATTTTGTATTATTTAGCCTTTCCCTTGGTTAACATGAACTGTCCAGGTTGTATGTGTGTGTTTATATTTGTAAGTATGGGTATACATATATGTATTGCATATTAATTGCTAGTATATTTTTCATACCCCCTAATAGTGGGAAATTTCTCCTTAACTATTCAACTCCTCATAAAATTGTAGATATTTTGGCATTTTGAGTTTCTTTATTAAAAAAATGCTGCTAGCAAAGACCTTATTGAGCCTAGGTAAGTTTCCTTTGAAGGAAATAATTTATTACATTTAAGGCTTGATTTGGTTCAAATGCTTTATATTTGATATTAATTTTATTTTATGAGATTGTATGTTTGTGGCATGCTTACGCTGCTATATCTGTGTTAAGATGCCCACTTGCAAGCCTCCATATATTATATGGGGTTTATAACTTGATTGTAAAAAAAAAACAAAAACAAAAAACCAAACAAAACTTAATTGCTTTGGCCTTGCACATGATTTGGCTTCCCTTAAACACCTGCAATGATTATTCACCTCAAATGAGTTTGTCAAACAGAATTCAGCCCAGTATTTTCACCCAGTAGAGTTTTATCTCTTTACATCATTATTTAACAGAAACTAAATCAGATTGGCTGCCTTCAAAACCACCAACAGGCCTAGCCAATTTTGGGTCCATGTGACTATATATATATTTTTTTACTATTCCAAAATTCAGGTGTTTTGCATTATGGGATTTTCTTCAGTGTCACTGTGGGGGGAGTTGCCCAGCTTTTTAAACAAGAAGTGATCAGTTAGCTCTTCCCCCTGCAGCTTGAGTTGCAAATTGGGCATCAGAGAGTAAAATTGAAGAGCTGGAGTGAGAAATACTCTTCTTGAGGAGTTTTCCCCTTCCTATGATTATGAATCCTGCATATTAACACTGTAGTCTGGATACCTCTTGGATTTCATGTCTTTAGGACTTTTCCTGTTCGAATGTGATGATTCACCTGGTACATGGTATGCATTTTTGTTAACATGTAAGTTGTACACTAAAGCCAGCTGGCTTGTCAATGTGAATATTTAAGAATTCCAAGTCACCTTTTGGTCTCAGAAAAAGGTAAATTAAAAGGATTTTGATGATTTTATCAATGAAATACTAACTAATTCTCCTTTTAAATTGAGTTGAGATTTGTGCAACAGAGATGTTGCCAGAGAAGGGCTAGCAGCCCCCAGCGCTCCGGGAGGGTTTCTCTCTTTTCCACGGCTTGAGTTTCATTAGTGCCTTTAACTCCAGCCCTCGGAACCTCTTCCCACGCGGAAGCGGAGTCTTTAGGTGCCGAGGGAAGCCGCTCCCGGGGCACCCGGACGCTCCTGCCGCTGGGTAACGTAACGCGCTTGGCTTTTTTCGGGGGGAAGAAAACAAAAAAAAAGAAATAGGGATTTTCTTTCTCGTACCTAAGGGCCTTCCCCCGGCCCCCGTTCCCTGAGCGGAGCCCGCCCCGCGTTCACAGCGCTCCCCCGGCTGGGCCGAGGGGGCGCCGGGGCCGCGGAGGCGCAGCTGCCCCAGGGGCTGCGCTCCCTCGCCCCAGCCCCGGCGCCCCCGCGAGAGCCCACAGACCCTTTTCTCCCCCAGCCTTTCCGAAGCGTTTCCCTGAGGTGACGGGCTGTGCGGCGGGCGAGGCTCCCCGGGACACCCCTCGGGCCGGCGGGGCGGGGGTTCCCCGATGAGCTCGGGCGCTGCCCCGCCCGCCTCGGTGCCGCCGCTTCGCTCTGCGCTTCCCTCGGTGCCGTCGCGGAGGTTGGTGCCGGCGGGAGGAGCTGCCCGTGCCTCCTGCTGCGCGGAGGGTGCCCGGGCCGTTCTCCCCTCGCTGCCGAGGGGCTTTCCCGTTCCCATCCTCCTCTCACCCCCGAACGGAGCTGCGGAGGCCGGGGACGCCGTCCCCGTGCCCGCGGGATGCGGTGCCAAGGGCCGGCTCGGGGCTCCCCGCCCCGTCAGGCGGAGCGCCCGGCTGGCTGCCTGCGAGGGAAGTGGGGGAAAGGGAAGGGAGGGGGGGGGGAATAATTTGCTCTGGAAACACGGAATGTTAAATTTCCCGTTACTCGACACCAGACCGTGGGGACGGAGGGAAGTTACCTCTCCCCAGAGCTGTCCTGGCAAGCGCACAAAGGTGCTCGCGTCGCCTCGCAGCTGGAGCCGCGCTACCTCGCTGCAATTACCCAGCGCAGCGTTTCCTATTCACAGACACTGAATTAATCCTTAGTCAAGAATAGATTTTTTTTTTTACGGTTTTGTTTTCGCAGCCGCATTTTCCTCATTAGAAACAAAGTTTTCTTCCCCCTTTCCCCTCCTCCCCCTCCGTCTCGCCCATCCCAATTTTATCATCCATTAAAATAAAGGGTGGGGTGGTGTATTTTTTTTCCTTTCTTTTAAGCGCCAACGATCGTTCATTTAATCATCCCGAGTAATTTTCTTCACCCAGAAACAGACGTGATTTATTTAAAAATTGGGCTAATGTGCGAAGCTTCCCCGCTTGGGAAGGGCCGGCGGCGGAGCGGCCGGAGGCGGCCGGCCCGTGCTGGCCGGGACACCGCAGGGCTGCCCCTCCCGCCGGGCACTGCTGCCAGCCCACGGCCCGGGAACCTGGGGTTTCCCCGAAAGCCGTGGGAAGCGAGGACGCGGCGCTCGGCGGAGCGTGGAGCGCAGCTCGGCCGCGGAGCGCCCGGCGGGTGTCACTTCACGGGGCGGACTGAGGAGGTGTTGGGGGACAGGCGGAATGAGAGGCTGTAAAGGGGGTGAAGGGCTCACCCGAAAGACCCTCTCCGGCGGAGAGGAGAGAGAGGATCGGGGCAGCACATGAGATGGGCAGGAATGAGGTTTCTGTGTTTGCGAGGCAGGGCTGAGAAGGGAAGGGAAGCAGCAAACTGCCTGGCTTATTTCGGGTGCTGATGACGACCAAATCCCAAACCCTTCTCTCAGGGAAAAGTCAGTTGAATATCAGTGTTTCTTCCGAGGCTGGGCTGTGGTTTGAGACTTAAGAACAGGTTGCAACTACTCCCCGCTGTAGCGAGCAACAAATGTCTCGATTTGTTCTTGCTTTGGAAAGAATATTTGCTGACCATCAAAATGCAACAGTTGCTGCTTGTTTTGACCTTTTCTGTGGGGCATGCTTCTTGCTTTTGAGAGTCCTGAAGTCACAAACTACCTGGCTGTGTCTTTGCAGGAGGCCAGTTTTACTTGGCAGGAGAAGGTGAGACTTTGTAACATGACAGTTGTTTTTTTGTTGTCTCCTTGCCAGTGTTCAGTAGCTCTCCAGGTTTGTTTTCCTGCCAGCGTTCAGTTCTCCAGGTTTGTTTCTCTGTGGTCGGGTCTTGTTGTGGTTTTGGGGTATTTTTTGGTCTTTTTTTGTTTTTAAATCAAACTAGCGTTTTTTTGTTTGGTTTCCTTCTCTCATGAATATGAGTTGACAGAAGTTAAAATAATGTTTTGCAAATAAGTGGGTACAGTTATTTATGCCAGCTGGAAGCAATATGTCTCTTAACTGCTGAGTTGAAATATAGTGACTTAAAGATTTCACCTACAACATGGTCTCTTATATAAATATGTATCTCTAGACAAAATGTTAAGGAGGAGTAGAGATTTGGAAATATTAATAGGAAAGAACAGGAATAATTGAAAACTATGCAACTTCAGCTGAGACCAGAGTTACTGACAGCTGTGTTTATGATTTTCTGATTTGATATTTCTGGGTTTTACATCCAGGTTATAGTTAATATCGGAATGGTTATCCTGACTACTGTCAGTGGCCTAGGAGATGCCTGGAAGATGGTGAGTGCATGGTGATTCCTTCCTGGGAAGATCTCCTTGTTCCAGGGATGAGAGATACCAGGAGGCCCTGAACCACACGGTGGCTGAAATATTTCACAGGTAAGTGAGATATAGGAATGTTAGTAATTAAAATGATGTTTCTGGCTCAAATTGTGGTTGGTTTGTTGTTTTTTTTTGTCCTACCACAAGTTTCTTCAGTTTCCATTTTATCTTCTGTTTTAATTTAGCCATGTATTTTTGAATCCACAGACTAAATTTCTCAAGAGGAAAAATTTCTCAATGATGTGGGAAGGGGAGCAGTAGAGTGAAAACAGGAGAGCAGGAAAGAGGAATTTTCTTTAGTGCTCAAGTCTGTCTAGCACTGTGGGAGTTGGTGAAGAACATGCGCATGAGGGTTAGAGTTGTTCTCTGCAATGCTCTGCGTGGTGGGCGAGGCCAACATCTTGTATGTGGCAGACTCAGAGCACACAGTGCAGTGTGAGAACAGCTGATACAGAGTTGTAGAGTAGGAAAGTGATGTCATCCTTCTTTCAATAATTAGTTAACCCAAACTGCAAGCTCTTCTTACCTTTCAGAAGTTATTGTCACCCTTGGAAAGAACTTCAAAATCGGGTTAGATGGACACCAAAAACATTTGCATGCCCACATTAGACTTGGTCACCTGTGGTAATGAGGAAGGTTCTCACTGGAATGATCAGCCCTGAAACTTCTAGTGTCATTTCATTTCAAAAGTAAGAAGTCTCTCCATGTTAGCAGACATTCACATCATCTGTACAGACAGCTCTCTTGACCAGCGCAGTGCTGAAGTGCAAAGGTCTATTTTCATTATTTAAAGGTCTTAAAAATGCAGCATCACAATGTCAGGTGGGTGTAGCAGAAGCCCTGCAGCACCTGGCATCAGGTGGTGCAACACGAGAAGTATTTAGAATTGAATATGGAATGCAAAAAATGAAGTGGTCTGGCACACTGTAACAGATTTAACCCCACTGGTCACTATTTCTTTCTTTCTTTTCCCCCATCTTTTCCGAGGAAAATAATTTCAAAGTGAAGCCAGTGAAACTAACTCGATGAATAATATTAAAAATTCTTTCAAAGCAGTGCCTGTTTTGAAAATGAGTTTCCTTTAGCAGTGAGTAATTTTAAATTGCTTTATTTTCATCAGGATTTTAAAATGTCAGGTAATCCATAGTGAAGCTAACATTTGTTTAATATGTACAATAGCTAAGTGGATGTTCAATGCAAAATGTGCATTCGTATGAACCCCTATCTGTCTGTTGGTTAGAGGATCCAGAGAATAGCAAACTACAGAGAGAGACAGAACAGATTTCAAGGGTTCATATGTCTGTTTAGTTGTCTAGACTGAATACCAAGTCTTCTCAGCAACTTGTGTCAGAGCTGCTGCTGAGAACGGTGCTGTCTGTGATCTTAGGTCACTAGTTAGCTCGGTTGTGGGGAACCCTTAATACCAGCATAGGCCTCTGGTGCTGATACATGTAAACTAAGTTAAACCCCTGTTAGCTGAGCTTATTTTGGCTTCTGACACTGGTGAATGCCTGAGTGCTGTACAGACAATTTCTGTAATGCTGTGTGTGGCAGTTTTAAGGTGCTACTTTCTTTCCCTTTCAGTCCAGATGCTTATTCCTATCCACTGAGATTTCTCCCCCCTTCTGTATTTGAACGGGTGGAATAGGACTCTTCATCCATAACACCACAAAGACAGTGGGATTTCTTATTTGGTGAACAAGCCCTTAGGATAGGGAAGAGTCCAAACAGTACTAGGCAGGTTTGTAAAGCTTGAGATCATCTTACAAAAGGAGATTGAGCTTATGTATCTGTGAGTCAGGCGAAAAAGAATTCATAAAGCAATGGCTTGTTTGAGCCAGAATTTCATGAGGTGTTACCTTCCAAACCAAGCCTCTTAAAGGGACAACTGTCTACAAAACAGACTTAGCTTGAAGTGCCACTGAAGGCATTTTTAAGACAGTATGTCTAATTTGCACTGAAGCGGAGGGAGAACACTCTGTAATTTGTCCTGTTGTGACAGAGCACAGCAGTAGCAGCTTAAAACACTGAGGTTATTACTGCAGCAGTCTCCTTACTGACATTAGATGGTCACCTAGAGTCAGAGTCACTTTTCTTACATGACTTATAGAAAAAGTAGACTGGGCTCCTGTGTTCTCTCCTGGATTTGAAGAAGTTATTAAACCAATTCCCTCTTTTGAAAGCCGTAAGCATTCACGCTGGTATCCTCAATAAAGCTGGGACACAAAAAAAAAAGCAAACAAACCAGTCACAGTAGCATTCAATGCACTTAAACTTGGAGGAAATGAAAATCAATATTTGTCAAATAGAGGGAAAAGGTAAAATGGACTGAGGAAAAGTGTCCGACTTTCTTAAAAGCCATTAGTGAAAATGAAAAGTTGACAGCAATAGTGAAATTTAATTCCTACACAGGATTTTGTTGTTCTCACTCTCTATCTGCTGATGTATGCACTGGCTTGATGCACACATATTCCTTTATTGTTAGTGCTGTTGAATGGAATTTATTGCATTTTAATTATGAGTGATTTGGAACCTTGGAGGCTTATGTAAACGTTTTGCATGTGGTTAAAATGTGAGGGGATAATTTAGGAAATGGAAGTTTCATCTGGTTCTGGACACATGTGACCTTGGCCAGTTGCTCTAATCTCTTGATGTGTTGTGTAAAATGATGCTAACAACAGTTCCTTACCTTTAATTTTTGCTTATTTTGGATATTTAGATAGGAAACTGTTCAGATTTAGGTAGGAAACTGTTCAGACTAGTCTTTTACAATGTGTGTATATCATACATGGCTACTCTCTGGGAATATAAATGGTTGTAAGATAGCCAACACAAACCAGCTATTTTGCATTTCAGCATCTACCAGAACACCTGGAAGTGCTCTGCTGGTACCTCAATACATTATTTGCCACTTATTAGATGAAGTTTCAAAGTTAATCCTATCTTATACATGCTTACATTTTTACTGTATTTGTATGATCAAAGCATCAGATTTTGCAAAATGTCTCAAGAGGTACTGTATTTTTGATAAACTGTTGGATGTAATCACAATCTTTTAAAATTTTCCTTGTAAGCAAAATGTCCCTTTATCTTGGGAACAGTATAAGGAAATAGTGGTTGCATTTGCTGCCTTGCAAACAAGTGCCTGTAGCTGATTTCCAATTTCAGTGATATTTATATAGTGATAACTTTCAGCCTGGACTCCAGGTAATGAGTTCTCGTTACATATTTCCCATATATGAAAAAAACAGTAAAAAAAGTATGTGAAATTGTAAAAGTCATATTTAATCAGAAAAAAAAATGCTGGATAATGCATAGTATGACAATTTAGGGCCAAACTTGTTGCCTGAGTGATTGTCTGGTTTGTTTGAGGGTAGTGTGTGAGGTAGGCAGGAAGATGTGAAAGGGCTCATGGCCAGTGTGTTGTAGTGGAGAGTTCATTGAAGTAAAGTGTGAAAATTGGAGTCCTCTGCATGTGTTTTTGGTGCAAGTCTCCAATATTTTCTGGTCCTCTTTTTTTTTTTCCCCAGAGAGCATACATCTCCATGTTCTATATGAATTGCAAGCACAGTAGTGCAGCCATGTGTGGAAAGGCAGCTATATAGGTGTGTCCATTGTCTGCTCTACTGTTGAGCCCTAGGAATGATGTAAAGACAGGAAATATTTTTGGATCCTGTGGGAGATTTTTTTCTGCTTGACCAATTTGATCTTTTTAACTTGAAATATGGCTTGAAAGGTTAACTCTGGGTTTTGAAACACTGTCCATACAAGTCAGCAAGTTACACTTAGATGTTCTGTTCTTAACTGTCTTGTGGAGGAACACAATGGAGTGAGCTTCATTTCACCAGGAATCTGAAGTAACCATCAACTAAAGCCTGAAGTCCTGGTTTTATCTACTGCTCATCTTGAAGGACTTACTTTTTAGTTGAAAATTAGATATTGACAACATTAACAAGAAGAACATGGCTAGCAATTTCCAACTCGCCAGCCCTCCACCTCTTTTACAATTTGACCTAAATTTGAAACTTGTTTGATGGTTTATTTTGCTATTTCAATTTATATAATGCTCAATTTAAACCATGCCAAAGAATCATGACTTTCAGAAAGTGCTACTCTGGCTAATAATCAAGCTTTTAAAAACATGTTGACACAAAGTCACTTAAAATCATGGCCCAAGTCCCATGATAGTGGATAGTTATGAGCTAACATCCTAAACAAACACACTGAGATCACCCTAGTGCCTCCTGTCTTGTCTGGCCAGCAGTTTCCCCAAAAAAGGTAATGATTTTTTTTTTTTTTAATTCTTATCAAAGGAAAGTGATTAGTTTGTTGTGTGATGAGTCTTTAGGTACACAAGCAACGGGGGCCATGTGCTGACAGAGCCATGAGGCAGTCAGGCACCTGTAGCTGACAGGTGGGGAGATGGAAGCAGTATACTCTTAGTTCTTTGTAGAGGGCCAAATCTAGGCTGCTGCATTTCCAAATAACATTTTTGGGAGATTTGACCTTAGGCAAATGAAATTACTATACAGCTAATTACTGTAGAATGCTCTGAAGTAGCAGGGAGTCCTGTGATGATGTGATCTGTCTCTCTTTAGGATTAGTAGTTGTCTCTCGTCTTCCACCTCCTCATTTCTTTCTTTCTTTCTTTCTCTCTCAGGGTTTAAGGCTCTGTGTCATGTTGACAGTTACTGGAAAGGGTTCTAACAGCAGTAGAACTAGTGAAAGACAAGACTATTTATAGGAAACAATAAAGTAAAAATAAATGTAAGATTAAATATCAGTAGCTACCAGCTGTAGCACCTCTTCTCCCACTGCTGTTAAGTAGTAAAATCAAAGCATAATTTGGAAAGGATCCCTGCTGGAATTGGAGTAACCAGTTCATTCTGCATGCCAAAGGGAAGTTGAGATGTTCATTTACAGGATAGCATTTCCTCAGCTTCTGCAGAACCAGCCCCCAGCTGGGATTAGAAGCTCGCATGCTGTAGGAAGTGAGATTTTTCTGACTGGGTGTAAAACTAAGCTTTTGGGGTCTCGTGGTGAGTGGACATTTAGAG